CATGGGGACGGGGATGGGGGACATGGGGTCAAAGAGTTGGGGGGACATGGGGACGTATATAGGGGTGGGGGACATGGGGTCAAAGAGTTGGGAGGAGGTGGGGACATACGTAGGGATGGGGGACAGGGGGACATGGGGACAGGGATGGAGGGATATGGGGACATACATAGGGAAGGGGGAGACAGGAATGGGGACAGGAGGACATGGGTACAGGGTTGGGTGGACATAGGGACACATATAAGGATGGGGGATGCAGGGACATAGGGACAGAGATAAGGAAGGAAGACATGGGGACGGGGGGGACATAGGAACACGTGGGTGTAGTGGTGGGTGAACAGAGCCATGGGGTTGAGGACATAACGTGGGGATGTGGGGATGTGGAAACGTGTTTTGGTGGCACCGGGGGAACATGGGGACACTGGGGTGAGGTGGCACCAGGTTGCCATGGCGATAAGGGGGTGGGGATGGAGATAAGGGGATGGGGATATGGAGACATGGGGATTTGGGGACGCATGGGGATATGGGACTATGAGGTGGGTACAGCTGGGGATATGGAGTGGATACATGGGGCCAAGGGTTTGGGGGGACATGGGACCATAAGAAAGTGGGGTTGAGGGGACATGGGGACGTGGGGACGTGAGGTTGGGGACACACGGAGATATGGGAACATGGAGTGGAGACACGGGTTTGGTGACAGGTAGGTATGTGGGGTGGGGACGCAAGGGGGTGAGGGGACATGGGTTGAGGACACATGGGGGACATGGGTTGGTAGGACATGGAGTTGGGGGGGGCATGGGGATATGGAGTAGGGAAAGGAGGTTGGGGATGTGGGGATATGAGGTGGGAACACATGGGGCCAGCACCATGCATGGAGCAATGGCGTGTGGGGGCATACAGCACCATGGGGTTGGAGAACGATGGGAATATGGGAACGTGGGGTGGGGACACAGGGTTGGGGCAGATGAGGACATAGGGTGGGGAGTGGGGTTGGGGGAACACGGGGTTGGGGATATGGGGTGGGGACATGAGGGGATATGGGGTGGGGACACGTTGGAACATGGGGTTGGGGGGACATGGGGCTACAGGTCTGGGGGGAGGTGGGACCATGAGGGTGTGAGGTTGAGGGGAAAGGGGGATATACATCATGGGGTGGGGACACATGGGGAGTGGGGTTGGGGGGATGTGGGGTGGGGACAGAGGGGACCGTGAGGAAGTGGGGTTGAGGGGACACAGGGATATGGGGTGAGGACTGAGGGTAAATGGGGT